TCTTTAAATTTAGTATATGTTTAAAGGTTCTTTAAATTTTTACTCGATTAATAAAAAGATCTATATTTAATATCTGGATTTTCAAAGATTTTTAAAAAATTTCTGAGATGAGTCTGGATCAAAGATCCAAGATACCCTGAGCTTTCTGGATTTGAAAGTGAGCAGAATATGCACATCAACTTAAGATCTTTGCTAAATCACAGGTTAAAATGCATGTAAATGGTAAAAGCATACATACTATTTGCCACCTGTTATATGAGAGAAGGCGTCAATTATGGCTGCTGCCAAACCAAGGAACAAAACAAAATCATTTTAAAAAGCAGATAGACTCTGAAATCTAATGGTATGATACTCAAAATATGAGAATTCATCTATGTGTGGCAGAAGGCAACATAAGCATTACTCAAACGGAAAAAATAAAAAAGCGGGAGTTTTTCACTTCTCTTTGTAACACTTAAAACACAATCACAATAGAATTACAGTATCCTTCATGTGATTACTGAAGTAGTTTACTGAGGCACTTAATACAATTAAAGTTAATTCTTATGAGTCAAAAAAAATGATAAAGTACTTCAAAAACCCTGAAAGTGAAATTCAATCTAAGCACTTAAAATTGAAGCTAGAACGGGAAACAAGTGCTCATGTGAAAAATAGAGAAAGTAGGGAAATGTTTTATTGTGTAGGCGAATAGACAACATGTGCAAAACACACACAATTCATTAAGGTATGGCCCACACAATCCATTTTGTGACCATATCATATAAAATTATTCATAAAGAACCATCTAAAGGATATTTTCTTTGGTTAAAGCTAGTAAAGGCAAAAGCAAAATACAAATTAATACATTTTACTTTAGAATTTTTAAGAATTATATTCCCAGACTATCATTGCTTTAAGTTAAAATAAATTTTAATCCAAGATGCAAATAATATTTAAGTGGTAAATACAACTATTAAAGCTATGAACACAAAGGCAGGCATGGTGGCACAAGCCAGTAGTCCTAACTACTCAGGAGGCTGAGGCAGGAAGATCTCTTGAGCTCAAGATTTTGTAACCAGCTTGGGAAACACAGTGAGATCCCCATCTCTATGAACAGAAAAAGGAGGCTAGAAATAAACACATTAAAATCATAAACATGATTATGTTTTTATATTAGCAAGTATTTTCATTATGTTTCTATAATGGTATATTGATTTTATTAGAATATGAAAAAATCAACAGCACTTTTAAAATGAGACTTCTATGGAGTTTATACTCTGTAGAATTTTTTACACATGTGCATAAGGAACCATGAACATTCAAAGTGTTCATTACCACAAAGTTTATAATAACAAAAAATTTGAAACCCTGAAACCTCCTTTCCAAGGAGCACAAACAGAGCAGTTGTGATATATTCACACAATGAAATATTAATACTTTAGGGAAGTGAAAAGCAGGTGAAGCAGACATTTATGTGTCCATATGGATCAATTTTGTAAACCAATATAAAGTCCAAAAAGTAATTGCAACAGGATACGCAGATTAAGATAATCTTTATAAAAATTTTTAAAGCATGTAAAGCAATATTGCCTGTTTTAATAATACATATAAAAGTGGTAAAATCATGAAGAGATACACAGCAATTACACTCTCACATTCAGAAAAGAGGTTCCCTCTAACAGGTGAAAGTGGGAGAAAAGAATAGTCGCCTGTGTCCCTCCCCAAGCCCACCTAGCTTTCACCACAACTTCCAAAACCCAGCTGCATACAATTCAATGTTTCTTCTCTGGGTGAACACACACAATACACACACAAATGCATGGTTTCCTATCCCACGACAGCCCTGGAGGTGCTGGTCTCCCACCCATGACCTGCTTTCCAAGCACTCGTCCACAGACTCCAGCAGGACGACCTCCTCACACCCTGGAGCAGACCAGGCACAGCCCAAGACCTTGTGCAATTGCTGTTTCTCTGCCTGCAGCTGTCTCCCCTGATCTGCACGCGGCCTACTGTCTTATTGCACAGATGTCAGGGAGGCTGCCCTTGACCACCCTCCTTAAAATGCCCCCAATAGCCTCTACTCTTTGTCTTGATTTACACCTGGCATTGGGAATCTATTTACGTTCTGTCTTCTCCCCCAGAATATAAGTTCTTCTAGGGAAGAATTTTGTCTGTCTTGTTCACTGTTGTATCAACCTTGCCTAGACTAGCGCTGGACACAAAGGAGCTGTATTACCTCCTCAAAAGACTTGTGCATTTCATTCTATATATATTTTGACTCACTTTTATTTGTTCTAATACACATATACATCTTCAATGTTATTAAATACTTTTTCTAAACATCATTTTTAAAGCTACACAGTATTCCAACATGTGCATAGGATACAGCATGGTTTAAACAAACTATTGTTGAGACATTTGATTTTTTTAAATAATTTTTATCATCTAAAATAAGGGACATTATTTAGACTCTATGATCAATCACTTCTTTAGGATAAATTCCTAAAAATGCTGAATCCATTTTTAAGATCTTTGATTTATATTACTAAAGGATCCTCCAAAATGGCAGCACAGGTGTACGTCCACACTAACAGTGGATGAAAAGGCAGCACAGGCCTGTGCCACACTGACAGTGGCTAAGTACCGCAGTGTTACAGTTTCACCCATGCTCAGCACCAATGTCTCTTTCAATCTCATTAATTTAATAAGTGAAAAATGTATTCATTTATCCAGTAATTTTGTATTTATAGACATATAAATATGTATTTAGAAAGTAACATATAAAGTTACTTTCTCTGTGTTGATTATTGTGTTGGTGGAGGAAGAAAGTTACTTTCATTCCTCAAATCCACCTTACTATAAAGTGGAAGTGAAAGAGAATCAAAAACTAGTCCTCAAGGCCGAGTGGTGGCTCATGCCTGTAATCCTAGCATTCTGGGAGGCCCAGGCGGGCGGATTGCTCAAGGTCAGGAGTTTGAAACCAGTCTGAGCAAGAGCAAGACCCCGTGTCTCTACTATAAATAGAAAGAAATTAATTGGCCAACTAACATATATATAGAAAAAATTAGCCGGGCATAGTGGCGCATGCCTGTAGTCCCAGCTACTGGGGAGGCTGAGGCAGTAGGATTACTTGAGCCCAGGAGTTTGAGGTTGCTGTGAGCTAGGCTGACGCCATGGCACTCACTCTAGCCTGGGCAACAAAAAAACTAGTCCTCAGCAGGACTTCATTAGTGAATAAACAGGAGAAGATGCCAGGGCCTGTCCTGTAAACAGGGCTCCCCAGCTTCACCTGGGGGGGTCCAGTTGGGGGGGGCAGAGAGAAGGCCCAGCTCTCCTATTCACAAGGCCATGCTTACGTGGCCCACTGAATGCTGTGCTCTTCTTCCACTGTCGATGGAAAAGAAGCCACACTCTGTAAAATAACTAAAAGAGGTTTATTCTGAGCCAAATCTGAGGAGCATGGCTGGAGCCGAGCCTAAGAAGCTTTGAGCAAGCAGACTTGCTATGGTTAGGTGAGTTTGGTTTTTATGTTTAAAGGAGAAAAGAATTACAAGTAAAGTCATGCAATGTGTACATTGGTTTGGCCCCAAAAGGTGGGACATCTCAAAGCAGGGGCTTTACATGTTATAGGTGGGTTTAAAGCTTGCTGATTAGTGGCCAGCTGCAGAGTCTCACACCTGTAATCCTAGCACTCTGGGATGCCATGGTGGGAGGACTGCTTGAGTTCAGGAGTTCAAGACCAGCCTGAGCAAGAGGGAGACCTTGTCTCTGCTAAAAATAGAAAAAGCCAGGTGTGGTAGCATGCACCTGTAGTCCCAGCTACTCTGGAGGCTGAGGCAAGAGGATCACTTGAGCCCAGGAGTTTGAGGTTGCAGTGAGCTAGGATGAGCCACCCCAGGTGAGAGTGAGACTTTGTCTCAAAAAAATAATAATAATAATAATAATAGTAAATTGAACCCACCCTTCACTCCCCCTCTTTAAAAAATAAAAATAAAAAAACAATAAAGACTCTTTGATTTGTAATTGGTTAAAGAAATGAAGCTTTGTCTAAAGGCTTGGAATGTTTTAAGATAAGGAAGTCTGTTGTTAATCAGAGACAAGCCACTGGCCACATACCCAGACTCAAGCAATTTGTTATGTAAATTGAGGACCAGCAGGTGTGGTTTAAGCTTTGTCTTGCATAGCCTTAGATCTGTGAATGAGTGACAAAGGATATCTCCAAGAAGGAGCAGGGAATGATGAGGCTGGTCTGAACTCCCTTTATCTAGGCTGGCAATTCAGTTTTAGAGTATCCCATTGGCCAAGAGGGGGTCCATTCAGTCAGCTGGGGGGAGCTTAAGATTTTATTTTAGTTCACACCACTGAAGGAATCCTTTCATTCACTGTGTTTCCTGCCCAGATTCCTCTGATCATCTGCCTAAAAGGGAGCAAAGCAAAAAAAGGAAGCAGTACATTTTTGTAGGTGAAAGGAAGAAAGAAGACATACATCTCATCTACACAAGCTGAAAAGTAATGAAACCTATCAACAAACAGCATGAAACTATCAAGACAATGTATGTTGGAAACAGAAATATTCAATGCTAAGTAATAATGGCCTTTCAAAAAACTTTATACACCAAGGTGCCAACCAGAAATCGACTGTATGCCATTTGCATACTTTAGAATTCTCCCCACTGGTCAGGGTGTTCAGAGAGTAACTCACCAGAACCCACAACTCCCAGGTCATTCCCAACAGCCCAGGCAGCCCACCTGCTGCCCTTAGGTCAGGTGCAAGATGCCCAATCAAAACCCCTCTGCCACAGCCAGGGGACTTTAAGACATCTCCCAATGACTGGTGGGCAGGGCTGAAAAGGACTGAAGTCACAGCACCCAGCACATTCTTTTAACACAAGTTCAGTGACACACAGCAAAAATACCAAGTTTTAGAAATCTAGTCAATGTATCTCTTAACCATCTCAACTCTTAAAACTACTTCTAAATACTTAATAATTTAACTTAATTTTAAAAATCTTTTCTTTTACCAGAGGAGCCCAGTAGGTGTAGAGATAGCCTATTTTCAATGCTGGTACAAACTGTGAGCAGGATACTACCAGAAAATAGAGATTCAAGAAAAACTTGAATTGTTCGTATAAAACCTAAAAAGGAAAAGAGAAAATTAACACAATCCCTTCAAGGAAAAATTTTAATACCCAAATTAAACAGTTAAAATTAGCACCACATATAACCACATTTCCATCAAACAGTGAAAATATGCTCTAATTCACAGGAAATTTATTGATTTTGACACTGGCTTCCTAATAACTACTCCATACATAAAGAGAGGCAATGTTACTCCCAAATTATATGTGAAATAAACTGAAAAATAAGATAATTAGAACTTTCAACTATGTTAAAAATGTCTTCTAACACTTTCTCTTGATGAAATATTCCAATTTTTCATACTCATCTATAAATCTTTCCATGCACATCAAAGCAAATAAGATAGCAAAACCTTCTCAATGTAAGCAAGTCAGTAAATATACATCATGATAACTAAGAAAACTCTTACAATGGAAGGAAAAATCACATTAACCTTGTATTTATGAAATGGTAAAAAATAAAATATAACAGCCACTTTTTTTAACATGGACATTTGGGTAGCTTTACAAAGACTGAGTGAACAAGCACACGTGCACAGGTGTGACTTCAGGAGACAGACTGCCTTAATGCCTGTATTTACTTCCCTCAAAATATTAAAAATGATAAAATATAAAAACATGTAATTACAGATCAATTTTCAGGAAGACAATTACCTATTCTTTATAGTCTTTTAGTAGGTGATCTGTAATAATATTTTCAAATATAAAATAAATTTCATCATCCAATAAAACTTTAGAAATGCCAATACTACAAGTTTTTGGTTTTGTTTTTTAATTCAAGTGGCTATCTTTAGGAAAGAAAACCCAAGATACAGTATACTAATAGATTTCTATTTACAAATCCCTCAAATTATTAGACTTAAATATAAGTCAAAATGGAACAAAACTTGTGTTTATAGGTGAGAATAATTCAAATACCACACTAAAATTACGAACTTGCAAACCTACAACTTAAACATCAAAAATCTCTTTGGATGTCATTTTGTATGCAACTTGGAAGGCTCGGAAGGTATGGAAATTTCAACAAGAGCAGAGCAAGGTGTTAAGTACTTAAAGAGTCTGGAACCATAGATAATGAGGTTATCTGCATCGTTATACAGTTATGTTTGTGACTAAAAAAAATCAGTTACATTGATAACATATTATATTTATAATCATGTTCAACTGATGTCTAAAAATGTTTCGAATTATTTCATAAATCAATCTCAGCAGGACAGAAAGCTTTTTCCTTAGTGATTTCTTTAAAATCTCAGATAGCATAAATTATATCTATTAGCAATTCAGAAATTGCTATTCATGGTAAAAATGGCATAGAATTCCTACTGTGTAATTACCAAATGTTTCTAAAATACTACATTTTAGATGAAAAGACTAATTTGAGAGACAATCTAAGAAAAAAAAAATCATGCACACGGTAATCATTGTACAGTCACGTCAACAGGTATTTTCAGAGTACAGCCAATCTGGGCAGGCTGAACATTTACACTGATCAAAGTTAAGCTGCACTGTTGGCTTGAAACCACTGTAATCAATACTTTACTGTCTACTGAATGAACTTGGTGACCTTTAGGAAAATGTACACTGCTTAGCCAACCTGTGAGTAGTTAATAATTTAAACCTAAGCAGAAAACAGTGGCTTCATTCAATAAAGATGAGAGTATTTATCTGGCTGACAGATTTACATTTTACTATCCTGACACAAGATCAGCCTTTTAATTACGGAGCTACCAGTTTTGTGTGTTTTAATAAAGAAGCATATTAGATATTAAGCATTTGCCATCACTGAATGGATGGGACAGCAGGAGTGGGGGGATCAATGCTCCATACAAAGTCACCATGATTATGTAAATCAAAATGCACAAGATAAAGCAGGCCTCATTCCACATAACCAAGAGCTTTCCTTGCAAACAGAATAAAAGCCAATACCTAAAACATGTCAAAAACCTTGATATAGACATATAGTCAGTACCAGCTTCTTTTGTGTATTATACTGACTGTATTTCTACATCAAAGATAAATAAATCTGTCTTTTAAAATATGGAATGACATACAAAAAGCAAAAATTATTCAACAATCCCAAACACAGACTCAGTTTTATAATTTAAGCAGTAAAATAACTCGTAACAAAAATGTAATAAAATATTTAAACTTCAGTATTTAAATTTAGCAGACTAACTAATTAAAGATAATCAACGATATAACAATATAACAAGGCCTGAGATTTATAATGTGAAGTAACATATACGACAGATATCTTATTACCGTGTCACTGCTGTGTAAAAAACTGTTTTTTCTTTGTAAAATTCCTTGGCAGGCTTTAAATATTACATTCCATTTTTCCCTCCAAACAAAACCCAGCCAAACAAAATTTATAATTTATTTTCTGATAATTTCACTTAGCTTTACTTATTTCTACACTATTATATTTCTACAATAATATAAATAAATATGATGTTTGTCAAGAACTAAAGGGAATAATCAAACTAAATTTTCTTGAGTTGAACTCTATGATGTGGCCATTAAAAACACATATGAATTATTTAACAGCTATCTGAAATATGATGGTACAAGAACAAAAGGACACTGATTTGGAAATGACACAGTTAAATGACTAAGTCAGTCTCAACAGGCCTCTTCTTAAAGCAAAGGATGCTGGCAACCTCACACACAACCCATCTTCAAGGACTTAATGGTCTTACCCCAGGTATAAAGGTAAACACATTGTATTTTTGATTTTTTATAGAATTCTTGGGATGTTTTTCTTCACACTTTTCAGGACATCCAAGCCACACTGTACGAGCTTTCAGTTCTTTCTTTCTTTGACAAATATTTATCAGCCAATCACAGCAACTGCGTGAAACAAAAAATACATATTTGTGTATGATTTTTTTTATAAGTTGAAACTAATTCTACATATTTAGAGTCAAGATTGTTTCTGTATTTACCAGACACTAATGGTATCCCTCATGCCAATCTGTGGAGTTTTTATTAAAACAGGTCAGTTACACAAATCTGACATAAAAATACTCTTACATAAATGTACAATGGCTTCTACTGTCCCAGAGTTATCTTCCTGTTTAGACACTCTTATTGTGATAATAAAGCCATTAACATTCTGAAGCAGTCAGTATTATATGCTAAGAAAACGTATAGTTACAGGTTATTGGTAATTCTCAATATACCACTCAGTGATTTGATGATAAAGGGCCTTAGATATCAATTAATCCAGAACGTGGCTCCCTCTCTTCTCTGAAGTAATCACTTTTTTTCCCACTTCTAAAAAATGACTTTTTCAGTATTACCTAGTTAATTCAATATTTTAAAAGGATACCAATGTTTAATGTGATATCCTAATGATAATAATAGGTTGATTATATTTCCACATCGCTATCTTCACCTATGCAATGAATATTTTAATTCTAAATTTACAATGGTGTCGGGTTCCAGGAGCACAATCTCTTGCCCTTCCTGGCCATCCAAACAATTATTTTGGAGTAAAGAGTATAAAGTTCCTAGTGCGGTAACTTTTCTTAAATTACCTCAGAAAATGATACAGAAAGTATCAAAGTGATTACTATCAAGCAGAAAATAATAATGAATTTAAACTTCAGTATTAAAAATTTAGTTAAATTCAAATTTCTAAAATGTAGAAGAAGATGCAGACTGGTTTATTAATGGAAGTTGTTAAATCTCACCCTCTGAATGCATTCAAGGCTAGAAAAGAAAGCCAGCTGTGTACATCAGAAATTCTTTACTTTTGTGACAAAGTAAACATAAAAGTAACACCTGTAATCTCAGCGCTTTGGGAGGCTGAGGTGGGAAGTTCACTTGAGCCCAGGAGTTTGACACCAGCCTGGGCAACAGAGGGAAACCCCACCTCTACAAAAATTAAAAACAATTAGCTGAGCCTGGTGGAATGCTCTGTAGTCCCAGCTACTCAGGAAGCTGAGGCAGGAGGATCGCTTGAGGCCAGGAGTTCAAGACCAGCCTGGGTAACCTGGAGAGACCCTATCTCTACAGAAAATTAAAAAGTTAGCCGAGTGTGGTGGCACACACTTATAGTCCTAGCTACTCAGGAGGCTGAAGCAGGAGGATCACTTGAGTCCAAGGGCTTGAGGCTGCAATAAGCTATATAATTGCACCATTGCACTCTAGCCTGGGAAACAGAACAAGACCCTGTCTCAAAAAAAAAAAAAAAAAGTTATTGTGAAATTTTACATGAAAATGGTAATACAAGGTATGATTATAAAATGAGGCTGACATATCAGAACACCTCAGAATCACTGTCATCCATGTTGAGGTGCTACTTCTTTACTCCAATCATACTGATGTAATTTTTTAGAAATGACTTTACAAATACTGAAAACCTAGAGACACATTACTTTGTAACCTCCCACAGCAGTATTCCATATGACAGAGTGTGTGCGTGTACACGCATCAACTGATATTAGCACTGTCCCTACTGAATGTCCACCTTATTCTTGGCTGTGCTGCGAAGATCTTCACTCTGAAAAAATAGAGGCTGCTGCTGGGAAGTGTCCCGTCCTTCAAGGGTGGGCACATGCTGTGGCACCTCCAAACTGCCCAGCACTGCCCTTGAGAAGCAATCCCTCCGGGGCAGACACAATGCCTAGGGCCTGGCCAAGCAGCTCAGCACCACCCACCTCTCCCCAGCTCTGACTGGAGCAAAGAAAGACCCGACTCTGCAACAACATAAATTCTTAGCACTGCCATCAACACTTTTTAACAGTAAATCCAAACATCTCCACATTAAAGGATATTTTCAAGTCCCCAACAGTTAGAAATCAGGGTGTTACTAAAGTGATTTAAGACTGTGAAATAAGTATTTCCACCATTACTGTTTTTTGGTGGGGGAGGAAAAAAGGCTGGTAAAGAAGATCTCAATAAAATGTTGACAATATTTGATCTTGTCTATACTTGAATGAGACAAAAATAACACTTCAAATAAAATAGAAGAAGCTTCAAATGACTACTTCCAACCCTCCTGTGGCTTTTACTGTGCAGCCTGAACCTCCTCTCAAGGCACCTTCCCTCCAGCCCTCCATGCTATGTCCACGCAGACCTCTCCTCCAGACCTCTCCTCCACTCCGAATCACTACGCCCAGGGCACAGGACTCCTGGGCACTCCAGCCCTAGTTCTCCCTGAAGCAGCTAAACTGTCAATCTTTTATGTGGTTACAACACGCACTCCTACGGCTATGAAAACCCTACTATTGCATTATGCAAATTACAATGGGATTCCTTGACTTCAGAGTTCATCATCATCTCAGATACCTGTAACTAAACTGTACCCATGCCAAACTCTCATATTTTACATATGAGAAAACTGTTGGCCAGACAGGTGATGGCTTCTCTAAGACTAAACAACTAGTTAATGGCAAAGCTGAAACCACAGCCTGGATCTCAACCCCACATCAACACGCCCCACCATATTAACAAGAGCCAGAGGCCAACTCCTACTCACTTTCACAGACCGCCTTTCCTCAGCCCAGGACACAGCATAGCAGCTGTTCTGCAAATGAGAGTAACTGAACAACGTATGAGCAGGCAACAAAACTCAATGGGAAAAACATGGACTTTAAAGGCATGAGACAACTGCCAGCAAGTGTCCCTGGGGAAGCCTGTTGGTCTGAGTCCCTGCTTGCTCATCTGTAAAGTGCTGACAAGACTGGAGTTAACACAGCAGGACACCCTGGGCACATGCCGCCCATGGAGGAGGCCTTCCAGGAGCCCTGCCTGTATTGGACTGCCTCCCGTCATCCATTCACAAAGTCACCATCCTGACCCGCTAGTTCTGGCACAAAGAGCATCCAGACCTGTACTGTACAACAGCACATGCACTGGCCACATGGGACTATTTCAATTTTAATTAAAATTAAGTAAAATTAAGAATCCACTTCCTCAGTCACACCACCCACATCTTAAGGGCTCAACAGCCACCTTGGCTAGTGGCTCACCTACTGGACTTCCCAGATCTAGAATGCTCCACCATTACAGTGAATGCTACTGAACAGCACTGGCATAAACCAAGCATGCTATGAGCAGGTGCCACACACAGGTGAGATGCAGGCTCCATATGGACACGCTTCCCTTCAGCACTTCACATGCAGCAAAAATTCTTCAGGAATGTGTTCAGATACGAATTTTTGTTCTACAACACATAATTATCTGATCTGTTTTGAAATACAAAAGTCAGACAAATCTAAGATCAAAAAGAGGATAGGCAAAGCTAAGTATCTGAAAAGATACATATAAAATTTAGGAAATGTGCTTATCTGATATTAACATATTCTTCTACAAAAACACTATGAATGCAAAACCACTATGTGCATAACATGAGCATGAACAGCAGCTAGAACAGAAACCTTAAGGTCAACACCACTGTCAGCACCTACCTGGACTAACACCTCACTGCCATTGGTCCCTCTATAAACACTAGCTATCTGCTAATACAAACACACACATTCAACATTTTGTTCATTTTCTCTATAGCCCTGTATAGATAAATCTAAGATTCCTTGAGTTGCATGACATAAGTTATTCATATTCCTGTGCTACTAACACCTATTATTATAACAAATGAAAATTTTATTACTAATTACATCACTACATACAGACAGAATCATGTGGCAGACAAGGCGCCACACCGAGTCCCTCGGAATGAGTACACTCACAACAGGCTTGAGGTCTGAGGAGGCTGGGGCTGTACCAGAGCCACCCTGGGTTATGCAGACAGAACACAAGTAAATTCAACACTAAGAGTAAAGGGCATAAACCTCAAAGATAAAGAAAATATTTACACAAAAAAAGTATGTTAAGCCTTACTGAGTTGTAGACCTAAGAAGGAAAATAAATTACGTGAAATTTTTGAGGGCAAAGTACTATGAGTGCAACATACTGGCAAATACTGAGAATCCAGAGGGAAAAGCAAAGAAAATTCCTTAGCAGAAACTAACCGGGAGCTTTACTTAACAACATCTCTATGTGTGCTAAATACTTTCTAAAGTATTGATTATTCAGAACAACACTTTCCCACTTACATATAAACTGCCTTACATCAAGCCCAACTGAAACTAAATCCAATAGTACACAAATTATACGTTTCTTAAAAATGTTTTAGGATTAGTATTTTTTTCACAAAATGCCTCTATAATCAATGCAGTACTCTAATATTAAGTAAAGCATTTTAATATGCCAAGATCCTGTCTCCTAAAATTTTAACTAGCCATAATTAAATAATTCCCATAATTCAGATAGCCTCCTTTCCTCTCATCCAAAAAAACTAGACAATTATCACATCCCACAGGTACCTTTGGTCCCCAAGCTAAAGGCAGGACAGCACTCACATCCTCTTGAAAGAGGGGCACTGCCCAGGCTGCTGCACCCCAGATGCTTTACAGATTGGCTACTGAGAACCAGGAACATCTTGGCATTTGATCCCTCCCTCCCTTCACACAGAAATGCCTTTCAGCTGCTCCGCCTTCCTGGGGACAAAGTGACTTTTGACAAGTAGTGAAACGTCCATCTCATAAGAAAGACACCAAGCCAGATCAGAGAACTACACCTACCAACGTGCCTCACAACAACGCACAGGAGAATGTATTAATTTACACAAAAGATATTCAAAGTTTTAAAAGACAAGATTCCAGAAAAATTTTTTCGAAGTGTCCCAGTTGGATTTTTTTGACAAATAATAAAAACGAGAAAGCAGGTCTTATGCCCTAAAGAAGTTACAGTAGTGAGGAACTACTCACTCAGTCCCTTAAGAATAATAACTTTAGGCTGGACATGGTGGCTCCTGCCTGTAATCCTATCACTCTGGGAAGCCA